CACGGCCATCGCCTCTGGTTGCCGATTAGGGAGAGAAAGAGAAGATGAAGAAGAAGAGGCTAGGGAATCGAAGAAAGAGAAAGAAGCGCAGATCTGAAAAAACCCATCGCCGACACCATCTCCGGGAACCCCCACCACCATCGCCGGAAACTCCCGCACAAATGGATCTCCAAAATTTTAGATCTGAAAAAACAAACAAAAATCCTCTAGTAGAAGAAGAAAATGACAAAAAGAAGGAAAAGAAGGGGGGAGGAGAGGGGGGAGATGAAGGCTAGATTTAGAGAGAAAAGAAAGGCAAGAAGAAGAAGGAAAAGGAGGAGGAGACAGCGAGGAGAAGAAAAGGAAGGGGGAGAGGAGGAGAGAGAATGAGAGAGAAAGAGGGGAAAGAGAGGGTACCTGGCCGAGAGAAAAAAAAACGGAAAACAAAAAAGGGCTCGAAAGAGGAAAAGAAAGAAGGGGTATTTTAGGAAATTTGGTTATGAAAACGTATAATGGGAACTTCTTTTCTGGACGGAGAAAAGTGTACAATGGGAACTTTAAATCCGGACAGAGGGAGTATATATATATATATATATATATATATATATATATATATATATATATATTCATTTGTATTATGTAATTATTTAGAATGAGGAAAACCTCTTGTATTCAATCACAGAGTTGTTGTTTTTAATTTACTTTAATATATTGGTGTTTTAAGTAGGGGGTCTCTTGGAAACAAACTCTCTACTTCCAAGTAATGGTAAAGGTCTCCTCTGCGTACACACACCCTCCCCGGACGGCCAGACCCTACTCTCCTGTGGGATTCTATTGAGTTTGCATGTTCTTGTTGTTGTAAGCAACATTACAACAACCCTGTTGAATTTCACCAAAGTTTTGGGGAGGGTGTGTGTACGCAGACCTTACCTCTACTCGAAAGTAGGGAGGCTGTTAGTAACACATGCAGCAAGTAAGCAACACTGTGCCCACAAAATACCACTCAATCAAGAATGTCATCTGAATATGATAATGAATTTGTAGAACTGTAATATAATAATGACATGTTAACTGCTATGTAACTGGATCGAAATCTTGAAATAAAAAATAACAATCATATCTAAGAAGGGAATGATTAATAATGAATCTTGTTTATAAAATAAATAAACAAACAAATAAATAAAGCCAGCATCATAGCATAATGACTGAATTTCTCAGTAATTCTATTTAAGAAATCCAAATGAACTACAGCTAAAGGGACCAACATCAAGTCTATCGGATGCATCCAAAAAGGGGGGAAATAGAATACCTTGATGTTTATTCTTCTCCAGAATATCGGCAAACATTGAATTATTGATATAGCCTGCAATCAACCAATCATATTTAGTTTTTTTAGCATATCTTCCCAGACATGGCGGTACATCATAAGTTAATAAACAGATCATAGCATGCAATGTAAGGAAACTTGCCATGGTAAACAACTGGTGTTACCCCAGCTTCCTTCAGGAAAACCAAGGCAGGAGCTGACTCTACCCCAAACCTATAATTAGAAAAAAAACTGTCATCTTAGTATCCTACTACATTTCCATTACAGATGGTTAGGTCAAGAAACGCTTTCTTTTCCATTCTTTACATGCTTCGTTTGTTTTTTCTGGGCAATACAAAGTTTTAAAAAACAACATAAGAAATCTTATCAGGTGTACAGTTTTCACTACTAGCAGATAAAATGCGCAAAGGCTAATCAGATGAATCAGCATACATATTCAGCCATAAAGAAGATTCGCTTTCCTGCCAATATACAAATGCAAAATCAGCAAAATCTAAGTAGCTTTTAGCTGCATGGCGAATAATTGGGGAAGCACGTTCTCCTGTCTTTGAGAAAAAGATGACCTTGACCTGTGAGACAGAATAATATAAGATGATAAGTGAGCGAGCATTCAATAAAACTAAGGCACCTTACGACAAGGAAATAACAGGACGTCTGTGGAGTGGAGACTAGTAAGCATCATATTATGAATAAAGAAGCCATATAGATTAAGTAATGCTATTCTAAAACAAATCATAAAAAACCCAATAAAATCCCTAACCCATTGGGTCTGGGGGTCGAGATGTAGGCAGTCTAATCCCTATAAAAACAGAGAGGTTTCAGTTAGATCCTAGATGCATTGCTGCATTTACTTCCCAAAACATTTTTGAAGAAGCAAGTTAAGTTTAATGTTTCATATTAAAGGGAAGGCATTTAACAAGTCATTGAAAATAAGAAAATCCAGAATTCCATATTAAAGGGAAGATATTTACAAAAATAGAAACAATGCAATGCATAAGTGTAATACACCAAGCCCATTCTCTAAGGTATACACAAATATTAAGTGATATAAGTAATAAACTAGACTGAACCACACACCTAAGTGATTGCATAACCGTCAAATTGGAGCATAACATAGTTTTTAAATCAATGTGACATGTAAGGCTATGAAAAATGATTGTGTTTCACGTTTTCACCTTTGGTAGGGAAGTAGGAGTTGAATTAGAATAATAGTACCTTATGTGGTTTGGTGTTCGCAAGAAACTTTTGTGCCTGAAATTTCAGAGAAATGCACCATAAATAGAAGAAAGTGTAAATTCTACAAATGGTCCATTATAACACGTGGTTTTCCACATTTAGTCTCCAATTTTAAGATATTACATTTGTGGTCCTCAATTTCTGAAAACTATTCAATAATTAGTTCTTTAGGTCAAATATGAGCAAATATGTTTTCCACATAGTCCCCAAAGGAATGATTATGGAATAGTTTTCAAAAATTGAAGACAATGAATGTAATATCTTAGAATTGGGGACTACATATGGAAAATAATTGTTACAATAGACCATTTATGAACATTTTCTCTAAAAGAAAATATACATCAACAACCAAGTAGAATCCCACGAAAATATGGAGGGTGTGTGTACTGTGCACGCAGAACTTGCCCCTACTTCTAAGTAGAGAGGTTGTTTCTCAGAGACCCCACAACACAGAACACACACAACACAACCAAAAAAAGAAAGGAAATATATCATGATTATAAAGAATACCAATCAATATGTAGCCAACTGGTATTTGTTGCCAAACCCCTCTGTAAATATGCATAGAAAACTTTAATATAAAAAACATGTTCATTTTTTACTTCAGAAAATTTGTTCTCAAATGTCAACCAATACCAAAATGAGTTGCAGTGTCAAGATTTTATTAATAATAAAGAAGCTAAAAACACCCCAACTTAAACAAGAAAGAAAGGAAAAAATAGCTCAAAGAGTTCTACAGTCAGTTGAATGTATTAAGCAAAGCAGATTGTTTACACATTGTGGACATGAATGAACACTCCTGAAAAATTTCCACGACCTTAAAATAAAATTTTACCCTTACAATAATAAACTAAAATAGTGTTAAAGCTTCTACAATTGTGTTCTGTGTACTACCATTGATTCTTTCCAGTAATATGGGATCCGTGGCAAGCTAAGAATGGATGTTGCAACCCAATCTGTAACCGCATCAACAGATAGCTGTCCTTCATACCTATCAATAATAAAAATTATGTCCCTCAATGAGATACAAACAGGAAGTGCAGTTTTGAGGAAAACTGCAATTTTGGTATCAAAGAGTACACCTAGTTGCGATTTTGGTATCGAACTTTTCAGAGTTATCAAAACATGTACCAAACTTTGTCTTTTCTTGCAAAAGACAAACTCCCATCAATTTATAAATGACAATGACCACATGGGGCAAAATTGAACCCCAGATAATTTTCCTCCCAACATTCATTTGAAACTATATGCTTAAAAAATGGGGTTGATTCTAGAGAATTTGTGTAGGGAGAATTTCTAATTCAATATCCACCCAATCTAGCAGTACTGAAACAATTATGGTAGAGCATTGAAGGAGTGGGCCGTGGCCTCCAATGTTCCAAGAAAAAAGTGTTAATATTTTTGTATTTTATTGTTTCATACTTATTTGCAGCTTTAAAAGCTAACCAATGATATGGCTTTAGATAGGATTGCTTGGAGGGTGGTAGGTTAGGCCTTGGTGGGTGTGGTCTATCCATGCATAGGCCTTGTGTGCATGACTTTTTTATGTACCTTTCTTTCTTATTTTCCTTAGATCCTTTACTGGTTGACTTTTTTCCGGATTCTTGTGTTTTGATCTAGGGAGTAGGGACTCTTGGAAACAGTATCCCTTCTTTCTAAGTAGGGCAAGGTCTGCGACTCTGCGTACACCTACCCTTCTTAAACCTCACTTCGTGCAATTTTATTGGATTTTTTTTATTATTGTTCCATTACTTATGTTGGGCGGAAAGCGGGTTTGTTGCTAGTATCCACCACAGACGAATTATCCTGTTTTTAATTTAAATTTTTGAATCACACGTGGCATCAGCATTCTATGTAGCGCCCCTAGCGCCGCAAATGGAAATTTATTTCTATTTTAAATGTAAAAGATGGGCGACGGCTTCCATTTAACAAGTTCCAAAATCCTCGACAATAAGTATTGTCCGTCCTTCAATGAACTTCAAACTTTCCATTTCACGCATCCCTAACTAAAGTTTATAGATTTCTCATTTCCTCCCAACAAAAGAAATATGTTGCTCACAATATTTCTCTTTTGTCTACACAAATTCAAAGTTCTAACCCTACGTATTTCACTTATCAACATTTTTATCCTTGAAAACAATCTGCCAACTTTATTAAGGAAATGAGGGATTATGTTTATTTTAAACACGTGTGATGGTTTTTCATACCATTCAATTTTTCTTTACTCTAGCCAAGTTAACGGATATGTTGCATGCACAAAATTCATGTCATTAACACAATATTTGCCACCTTTTTTGCCAGCTCTAAGAAGTTTGGTACCAAAGTTGCAACTAGGTTTAAACTGTAGTCCCAAAATTACAATATTCCCTACAATTTTGTGTTTAAAAAAAACCAAAAAAAAACATGTTACACAAAAATGACCATTTAGAAGTTTAATCACCACGTAAAAAGCCTCAACATTACTACTAAGGCTTCTTGGTAAAACAACCTCTCAGGCTTGGTGAATAGGAGAATGGATCAAAAGGAACTTACCTATGAAGACATTTCAAACTCTTACAGCCTGGGGGGAAAGCCAGAAGTGCAGGAACTCCTGCATGCATACGAAAAAAATCATGTGAATATTGACAAAGTATAATAAGCTATCTTGTGGTGTATTTGTATGAATTTTGTAATAACAGGCTTTACCAAATTTAAACAAAAGACAGCTTTGAAAAAAAAGGAGGGAAAACAATCACTGCAACTCACAATATAATTTTTTTTATCAACAAATTTGATAATGATTTAAACCTAAATGAATTATATTCTAGTTGCAGTCAAACCTGAAAAATAATAAAAATGAAGAGTTGAAGAGTCAATATTCTCATAGCCAGGCCCCCAAAATTTTGGAATATTACTATACATTTCAAGTTTAAACATGCATTTAGGCTTCTGTATGTATGCACCTGTGTGTGTGGTACTCTGGTTTAGATAGGCATTTAGGTATTTCTGTACGTATTTTATGTGTGAATGCACATGCAAAGAGAAAGTGCAATTCGCAAAGGGGAGGGGAAAAGTAGTGTAAGTTAATAAGCTATGCTTCCACCAACAAACATTCAAGTACATCTGAAAAGAAAATAAAAAATCGGACGGTGGGGAAAAGTAGGGACAAGTTAAGCTTTCACGTTTTCACAAAACAAACTTAATGAGCCACCTGGAATATGGTTTAAACTTTTTACCTTGGGTACTCAATATTCTGATTTAACAACATTTTCCATGCATATGGAAATAATCAATTATGATGACACTTTTAGAAATTTTCATCTCATTATTCCTTCTTAAGAAGGTTGCTACAAACGGGCACCCCCGTTAAAAATTGCCACTGTACATGTGTTAGATAATGTTGTAAAATGAATTAGAACTACTCGCTCTATCCCGAATTAATCATCCCGGTTTGACTTCAGGGAGTTTAAGAAAAGTGTTTAAAAGTAAAAAGTGAGTGATTGAAATTTGATTAGAGGAAAGAGAAAGATTGTGGAGAACATATTCTTTACTTTATTAGAAAAGTAAAGAAGTGAGATAATTATTTTGGGATGAACTAAAAAGGAAAATGAGATGATTAATTTAGAACGGAGGAAACATAAATTTAATGCCACCAACCCCAACTAACTGGGATTAAGGCGATGATGGTCTTTTTGGAGAAGGAAAAATCAAAAGCTATTCAATGAGAAGACTAACCATATCTCAAGAAAGGTTGGCCACTAGGTTTCTTCTCTGCTAGATATGTTGCAAGCTGAGTATCACCAAGTTCAACCATTCCAGTATTAGCAACTCCATCTAGCAATTCAACTGCAGAATTTAACACCAGAAAGAGGAAATCATAGATTTTAAAAGTTGCACTAAATTCATAAGAGAAACACACTATGAAAAAAGATAATCCTACCAATTCTCTTCCACTTGGGTAAAAACTGATTGCATTGTCCACTCCCAGAGGAAAAAATCTATGCAGCAATATGAGACAGTGATTAGCAAAGAAGCCCATTTAAGCCTTTGGATTCCATTTTGTGTAAACACCAAGTACGCAGTTACTTTTGTAAAACCTGAATGAACTTTCAATTTACAGTATGCAATTTTATTTGTAGCAGAGTAATTTCATAATCATATACTGTGAATTCATAACAAATACTGCAACACGCTAGGTGCTGGTTTGCCCTATTTGGAGCCTGCTTACTTCAAAAGCAGAAATTGGTTCAAACATTAAAAAAGTAAAGAGGCTTTAGTAAGACCACATACAAGGCAACGCACTCTCTTCTAGCGGCTAAAGAACTTAAAGTAGGCCAAACCACCAAACATGCACTAAAAGTTTTTGCTTCCTACTTACTCCCCCCATCCCATAAAAAGGTTTCACTTTTCCTTTTTTTGTCCCAAAAAAGGTTCCACGTTCTACTTTTTGGAAAAAAACCTGTGGTCCTCATAATTTCTCTCTCCTCTACATCACATTCAGCCATACAATTGAACCGACATGTTTTTTGACCCGAGACTCAGCCTAAAATTTTTAGATTTTGAACAAATAATTTGTTAATAACTAAACATCGAAGATGACGGAACCCGAAATGACCCACTAAAAATGGGTCAAACCTGATCGAACACAAATCAGACTTGACCGACCCTCTAAGGTAAGGATTTTTTTTCAAAATCATGTACTTTAGTATGAAATATAATGTGATAAAAATACGGAGAAATATTATACCCCCCCCCCTCTGTCTGGGAATAGCTTCCAAATCACATTTTTGGATGTTCGAAAATGATCAGTAGGTTCTCATTTTTAACACTTAACCATAGCTACCCTTTTCATCCTTTCTCCAATTATCCCCAATACTCTTCCATGAATTCCATCCAACCCTAAAAATTTTCCATCTTCCATCTTATCTTTGTTATCTTGCTCTCCCCCTTTTATTTCTTCGATTCTCCCTCTTCAATCATTGTCCATTCTTCTCCCCTTCAATGCTTATTCTTCTCTATGTTGCCACCGACCACGAATTTCAAAAATTGTACCCATTTAAATTTTTTATATAATTTATAATATTGTTGTATATATCTAAAAATTAATTGAAAATTTAAATGAAAAATATTATAATAGATTTTATATATATGTTTACATATATATATGGAGAGAGAGAGGCCCTTAATCTTAAAACATTTTTGGTACAACAGTTCTTAACTTCTTACAACAATGCAATTAGGGCACCTACGGTGCTCCATTCGTAAAATTTATTGTTCCTACCCCAGCAAATCCTCACATCCCATTTCGGCCCGAACGCACCACTTCACCCCCCTCCAATTGCACCACCTTTGATTTTGGTCAAATATTTTACCACAAAGTCAAAAAAATGAAAAGTTGTTCCATGAAGCGGTGCATGGGTGCGTTAGGGCCAGGCTGGGATGTGGGGGTGTGCTGAAGGGTAGGAACAATCAATTTTATGAATGGGGCACCGTAGGTGCAATTGCATTGTTGTAAGAATTGTTGTACAAAAAAAGTTTGTGAGAATAAAGCCCCCTCATATATATATATATATATATATATATATATATATATATATATATATATATATTACTTTATATATATAAATAGACCTGGCAATCAGGTCAATTGGTTCGGTTCCAGTTTGGATCTTTCCGATTTGGGTCTCTTTTGAATATATGTTATAATCAGTTTAAGTCGGTTCCATTCGGGCTAGTTCAGTTTTGGGTTAAATTCGGTTTGCTTTTTTCCTGGTTTTGGGTCGATTTCGGTTTGGATTTATATTAGTTCGGGTTTATATTGATTCGAGTTTATACCGGTTTGGGTTTATATCAGTTTGGATTTATACTGATTTCAGATGAGATCCCTTGGTATGAGAATTCCAAAAGTTAGCCTTGAGTCTCTCCTTCTTATGTGTAAAGGGAGTATATCTACAAGTGTCAGCAGTAATGAGCTAGTATATCCATTAATGTGTGTAATGATGTCACTATATAGTATATAAACTCTCTATAAAAACAGACAATAACCTTAGTTCAAGTAAAAAAAATACGGGGTAAAAGATTTGTACATTAAATCAGTTGTACCTATAATTCAAATATGTTTTTCTTAGAAAGACATAAACCACTGAGTTTTTAGGTTTGTCTAAATTTGAGTTTAATTTGTTTTGAACTTGATAAATATTGGCTCTAATCAGTTTCTAGGTATATTGGTTTCGATTTTAATCGGTTTAGGGTCTAATCAGTTCCGGGTTTAAATGGTTCGAGTTTAACTAGTTCGGGTTCAATCGGATCCGGATCTGAATCGGGTCTGAATACATTCAGTTTGGTTTTGGTTCGGTTTGGATCATTTCAGGTGTTCGGGTTTAATTCAATTCTTCAATTTTTTGGTCATTTCGGATTTGGTTCTGGGTTATTCGGGTCGGGTTATCGGGTTCGGGTCAGTTTTGCCGGGTCTATATATAAATATATATATTACTTTATATATATATATATATATATATATACACACACTAGGAAAGTATTTGCCATTGCATAAATTATTAGTACAAGATAAATAATATAAAGGAATACAATGATGTCATCATGATATAATATATGTGCAGAGCATGATTACAAAGCTGGTAATTTTTCCACTCCCAGGAACTAGAGCAAACAAATCATATGTGCCACGCTTGTTGTAACTATAATTTGTTCTAGGACCTCGAAAAGATTTTGACAACATGTCCAAAAACAAGTTGTGCTGACATAATAAGTGACAGTATGTCCGGTTATGATCTTGTCTTGAATAATGTGACAATCAACTTCAATGAGATTGCTCCACTCATGATATACTGGAATTGATGTTATCTCAATTATTGCCTTACAATCACACATCCATGGTACTGGATTTTGCTTACATATCATAAATCTTGGAAAATGTGTTTAAACCATAAGACAGGTGCGAGAAAAAAAATTGTTTGGCATAAGATCATGATGATAGAAGAAAATTATATATGAGTAAGGAATGAGAATTAAGAGTGCAATGTATATCTTTCCACGAAGGAATATGTAAACATCCGGAGAGGGCTCAAGCTTCAGGATAGCCAATTGTTGTGTAGGATTCGCCGCAAACCTGCAGAGGAGTCTAGAAAAGGACACGCTAGCATGGGACAATGGTAAACCTGGAAAAAGGCAAGCTGGCATGGATGGGAAGTAGGAGTCTGCAGTACTGCAGTAGCAGTGAAGATTTTCATTGAGGTTGAACTGCGCCGGATATATGGAACAAAGTCATGGACCAAAGTCAGACAAAGGAGAGGAAGGGAGAGAAGTTGTGTGGTAGAATGAAGACTCAATAAGGGAGACATTTGTGGAAACAAAATGTCACTTCAGCATTTTGAGAATATTAACAATATCCCTTTTGAAGTCATGGATATCTAAGAAAGACGCATTTGATCGACCAGACATTATGGAGAATCCTAGTGTTGTATCATGAACAAAGAAAAGAGAAACAAATCCAAAGATACGAGGTGGAAAAGGGAATTACTAGCAAGCGGGAAATGGGGCTGAATAAGGAGCTCTGTTTTGAAGAATAGAGGAAGACATTTGATTAATGAGATGGCAAGCAGCAGGAATGGTGTCGATCCAGTATTGAGGAAGTGACTAAAAATGTATTAAATGTATGGGCGGTGTCCACTAAATAGCAGTTATTGTGTTTGCCAACCCCATTTTGTTGAGGTGTCTAAATGCAAGATGATTGATGAAGCACTCCAAGGCCATCCATAAATAGATTATATGGATCATCAAAATATTCTTTGGCACTATCACAATGTAAAATTTTTATAAAATAATAAATCGAGTTTGAAGTTAAGTGAAGTTTTTTATGATATGAAGCAACTCAAATCACTCTTTCATTAGCAACAACCATGTGCATGTGGAAAAATCATTAATGAATATGACAAAATATTATAACCCTAGGGGAGATTGGACATGACCTGAACTGCAAACATCAATATGAAGTAGATGAGATGAGAGCATGAATCATCTTATTAATCCCTCATGGATATGACGGTTGAGGTTGTTTACTAAGGTGACATGACTCAAAATCTAGTGATGAAAGAATTGAAAACCCTAGGATCATTTGTTGAAATTTGGTAAGACTTGGCAAGCCCAGTTAGCTATAAAAGGTAATGATTGAATTGAAAGAAAGGTGAGCAACTTGATCAGGATGATGTAGGAAATAGAGCACCTAGGATTCAAGACAAACGCCAAGCATCTTCCTCATTGTGCACTCATGTATCATATCAAAATGAGCACAAACTGCTATAATACAATCATAAGAACAAGACAACTAGTAAAGAATAGACTCGATTAATCACACTATCAAGAGTATATATGGCATTGCTCAGTGATTTTGATTTGTGTAAGGGAACTTATTTTATGCACTTTGGGTGGTGGCGATGGTGTTTGAAGAGTCTGGACAGTTGGCAAGGGTGATTAAGAGTAAGCATTTTTTGGATGTGTGGAAAAGGAGAGGAAAGAAAATTGGAGAAGAGAAAACATGTAGTACTTCAATGTATTTTCTCTTGTTTGGACTTTGGATAGGAATGGAAATGGAGAGAAGGAAAAAAAGTGATGGGGTCCACCTAAAAACTTCTCTCCTCTCATGAGAAGAAAATGCGTTGAACCACTATCCTTATCCCTTCTTTATTTTTTTTCCTTTTTACTTTTTTCCTCATATTTTCTCTTCATTTTCAACTCATGTTCTCTTCATTAAAACAGCAATATTTTTCTTTCCATTTTTTCATCATTTATCTTCTTTTCATTTTCTTTCTTCTCATTTTCTCTCCTAATCCAAACAAAATGTAAATGATGAGGTTGGTCACATTTAGCCACATATAGGAATTACCACACACTATTAGAAGCATCTGAATATTTGATTTAAGGATCCATAACTTGAAGTGTTTGAAACACACCTAGACCTCACAAAAACTGACCCGGCCTGTTTTTGGCTTGATACCTGACCTAAAAATACATCAAACAACAACAAAGCCTTATCCCACTAGGTGGGGTCAGCTACATGGATCAAACGACGCCATCGCGCCCTATCATGTATCATATTTGCTGTGAGATTATTCACGCGAAGGTCTCCCTTGATCAATGCTTGCCAAGTCCTCTTAGGTCTACGTATTATGCATATTCACCATTTGATCAACCCTTCTCACGGGATGCTCTATTGATCTTTTCTCCACATGTCCAAACCACCTAAGACGAGTTTCCACTATTTTTCCTACAATAGGTGTCACTCCAACTTTAGCTCTCATATCTTCATTCCTTTTTCTATCCATAGGCGTATGACCGTCGTTTATGCTCCTCATTAAACAGATCATTGAAGTAGCTCTTCCACCTGTCATTTATGCTTTCATCGGAAAACAAAACTTCACCATTCTTATCTTTAATGCACTTAACTTGGTCCAAATCTTGCATCCTTCTTTCTTGACCCTTTGCGATCTTGTAAATACATCTTTCCCCTTCTTTCGTACCCAAAGACTGGTAAAACCCTTCATATGCTCTCATTTTTGCTTCACTTACAACCACTTTTATCTCCGTCTTAGTTGTCTTATACCTTTCCCAACTTTCCACATTCCGATATAAAGACCACTCCTTAAAACGTTCTCGCTTTACCTTTACCTTCTCTTGCACACTAGTGTCCCACCACCATGATTCTTTGTCTCTTGCATTAGTACCTTTAGTTTCTCCAAGGGTTTTTTTGCCACCTTTCTAATATAATATCTGCCATATCAAACCATAACTCTTCCCCAATTCTATGTCTATCCCATTTTGCTTCTTCTACTAAACAACTTTGGAAATCCATTTGCTTATCACCCTTCAAGTGCCATCTAGTCCTTAGGTTCCCCTCTTGGCGACTTCTATTTACCTTTCGTTAGATACGAAAGTCCATAACTAGCACTCTATGTTGGGTGGTCAAACTCCCTTCCAGAATAATTTTGCAATTAATACAAAAAAATTTATCCGATTTCCTTAGCGGAAAGAAATCGATTTGAGAGCATGTCCTCCCACTCTTATAAGTTATAAGATGCTCGTCTAACTTCTGAAAACAAGTGTTTGCAATAAGAAACCGGGAGGTCGAAGAGAAATCTAAAATGGTTTTACCTTCTGCATTCGTTACCCCAAAGCCATGCCCTCCATGTATTTGTTCATACCCACTTCCATCCTTGTCCACGTGTCCGTTAAATCTCCTCCTAAGAAAACCTTATCTCCTAATGGTATACCTTGTATTACACCTTCGAGGTCTTCCCAAAACCTGATCTTGTGGTGTTCTCCAGAACCGACTTGTGGTGCGTAGGCACTAACCACATGAAGAGCATGTCCTTCTACTACCAACTTTAATACAATGATCTGATCTCCCACCCTCTGAACATCGACCACGTCCTTCTTCCATTGTTTATCTACAAGGAATCGAACATTTTCCGACAGCATTGCCATCGTAGTTGCCTTTTCATGGCAAATGAGTTGTCATGATGGCATAAGCATTTGTCAATGATGTCAATGAGGTATCCTATGTATCACCCAACACTTACCCCATAGGGTGACCAATTTTATTATGAAAAAATCAAACCCTATTGCAAAATCTCGTTGTATTTAGCAGCAAGGCATATTCCCCATATAAGCTAAAATCTGGAGTAAACTACCAAATAAATCAAATGTGCCACCGTATTGCAAAATTAACACACCTGAACAAGAAATGCTTTGTTACTCTCATGCATGGACACAAGCATGTCGGGGTTAATGAGACCATAACCGTAATCCTTCAGTTCTGCAAAGACAAAATATACATGTCACACAAAAAAATCAAAAAGGAAGCCTCATCCGATGAAAAGGACCCCATAAAAGGAAGCAATCCTTTTGCTTCAAAGGGGATGTATATATGTTCAAATCATTAGTAAATGAGCCTATGTAATCACCAAAAGAAACAGGTGCAATTAGAGGAAGGCGGATTTCAGATATGCGTGTCCAACTTTCTTGCACCTTTGCCCTTTCAATTACATCCTATACAATGCAACAATAGGCCAATAGCCAATAAGCCATTAACAAGGGGAAAATTCTACGACATCAGGGAACAAAAAGTTTAGAAAAGAAAGGAATGCAAGATAAATTAAAATCCGATTTGTCAACAGCTCAAATAGGTCATAATAAAATAAGATCTAAAGTGAAGGCTTTAAAAAACTCACAAATTGCTCATCAATACCAAATAGGTCATAATCTCTTTTCCATATCTGATTTGTCAATAACTCAAATGCATACCGAACCTGGTAGGAGTAACAATAAAGTATATATAATGGAAATAGAAGTAATGAAACAGATTGATGCTATATATACTCTAAGGAAAAATCCATTTGGGGCCCTATAGTGCTACATTGTGTCTGAGGAAAAGTCCTACCCACGTCCCCCCT